TTGTTGTTACCAGAACCGTAAGAGTCGGAATTGTTGTTACCAGACCCGTAAGAGTCGGAGTTGTTGTTGTTACCAGACCCGTCGGAGTTGCTGTTGTTGTTGTTGTTGTTGTTGTTGTTGTCGTGTTTACCTAAGCCGAAGACCATTTTGAATTGTTTGTATCTAGTTTGTTGTTTGTTAAGAATAACTTGGAAGAAATAATCTGAAGAGTGACGAAAAAGGGGAAAAGAGCTACTTATATACCAATCCCTGTGGAATCATTGCAGGTTGCCACACCTTGAAACGTGCTGAAATTTAGAATTGCTGTTTCACTTTCCGTACGACCTGAAAACCTTATACGCACAGAACGCCTAGATGTGCCTTAGACTCTTTTACACAGATCAAGCCTGGTATGGTTAATATAGAATTAGCGGGGAATGACGAAAGGCGAGCCGCATACGCATTATGCACTTAAAATTTCATCCTGTGTAATGATGTCGCATACTCCTTGCTCCACAGCTGCGCACACGTTGGCATATCTAGGTAACATGTAATAGCAACCAAGGCCTCAATGGGCTTAATTGCTTGTTGCAAAGGAATTGAGTTTAAAGGACTAGGGGGCTTGTGCAAAAGTGATACGCAACTATTGTATAACGAGGATGGATCATAATTGGGCATTGGATCAATGATTTGCGGAGAGTATGGCGAGAATGCAGCAAATTTCAATCGGACTGTCTACTATTGTTATGATGTATGTAAGATTGTGCGTATCAAAAAAGGCACGCGGTTGTACTATGGGCTATAGCTTCCCTAGGCTTTGCCAGACACCAGAACTTGATTATTTGGGGCTAACTATGGACTTCACCTGGAACGTATACGGAGAGGGCCTAAGATATTAACGGCGGTACATTACAGTAATACCATAGATATATGGAGTGTATCATCTCACACCTCCACATTATTCCTCTTTGGTGTACACAGCTGACGCCCCAGTCTCCTTGCATATGTTCTATTTTCTGGAAACACGTGAAGCGGGAGTACGTGCAGCGGGGTATGCGTACGGACATTAAAATCGCAGTACTAGCTCTGGCCTTCTTCCTGAGTAAATCCGGGCTCCTAGCTGTTATAAAGTGAGCTTTTAATAAATATTGCAATCTTTTTTCAGCTACCCAATCATGGCAATCTAGTACTGTGTTAACCCCCCTTACATGCAAATGCGCATACGTGGCCTAATTTCGCACCCCCTTACGAACAGTGTTCAATTGGGACATGTAGCATCAGAAGCTTATGCATGGAACATTGCTCTGGTTTATACATGCTCTTGGTCCACGGTAGTTACCGACAACAAACAAAGATCCACGTTGCGCTATGACCGCATGATGATACATTTCGTTCTGCTGATCTTGACTATCCAATTGAAGCAATTCCTGTACACCATTATAAGCCCGAAGTAATGGCTGATATTTTGAAGCGATAAATCTCCAACCAAACGAAATCATGTTTCGAAATAAGGGATCAGGAGTGTGGAAGTTTGGATGTTGGAAGTAACGTGGAAATACGCTGTAGTGCGTGCACGTGAAATCCTGTACCAGGGGCCTGCATGAACGTGATATCTGCTTTGGGACCATACGGCGATAAAGTTTCAGATGTCTGTACGAACTGAGTCAAGTTGCTATGTCTTCATCGATTCAGAATATTATGATTGTGCTTGGCTCCTTTCTTCCTCCCTCGGGAGATGTAGTAAGTCAGTCATGGTTTCTAGTTCTTTGCCAACAGATATTAATGTCGCTGGTAACGCAATAACGCGTTTACTGTAGGATTTGAGGCTCCGGATCTGTCTAGAGATGTTTTTTTTTTCACGCATAACAATGCTCCACGCCTCTAACAAACCGTTATAGACCTGAATGGCCTGATGGCACGTTTTTTGACGATTACGATGTCCACAGCGGCATTCTATTACGTTCGACGAGACAAATCCCTGTATTTCGTCCTAATTCTTGGACTGAGGGGTTGTGGAAAAACTTTTTTTCAGATAATTTGCCAGTTTGTAATTATTGCTAACTGCTCCGGGTAGACCTCTTGCAGTAGCGTTGCCAGATTATTTATATTGGCTTCAAAGCTCGGAGTTAGGGTGAACTAAAAGTGGGTAGTAGAGAACCTAGCCTCCAACTCTGTTAGAAGCTTGCTAGGGCGATTTCCCCGTGAATAAACAGGACGGACTAAATTACTTTAGAGCAGGGTTTTTTTGCGGGATTAAAACAAATGACGTATAAAATTAAAGTAGAATAAAAACAGTAACCTGTCTAACGCAGATATAATGTGCGAGAAGTAAAAAGAGCATGCCTCAACTACGTAAGGGCTTGTTTAACCAAAATAAAAACAAAAACGGCTAAACCGGTGGCGGTAGCAAACCTGCTGTTTAAACTATTGTCACCGTAGAACCGTTTAACAGAAACGATAAGATAAAGGGCAACAATGTCAGTAATACCTGGAATGGTATCGCTACCCGTAGGGGAGAGGATTAAGACGACCAACGCACTACCGTCGCAGTCCTTTTCAGAAAGGTTGTCTGCGGGTGATTATTCCAAGAAGCCAGCACACGCAAGGAATAAATGTTCGCCACCGACTGGAAAAACAAAAGTACTGACAGAGCCGGATGAGATGGTGATGACGAGGAAGGTGCTGTCGGCCAACTTGACAGTACTGTCAGCTTGCACGAGGGCATCATTGTCGGTTTGCGAGTTAGTCGTAGCTAACCTGTTGGAAAAATTAACGATAACATATTTTCTCGTAATAGTTTTGAGGCGGAGTTTACCGAACCCGATTTAGGAATTAAAAATGGTTTTCAAGGCTGGAATAGAAGAGGTAATGGATACCTTTATAGGGTGCTTTTTATATGTTTAACCATCACAGCACTGTACTTTGATTTCGGAAACCAAGCTACCCCGGGGTGAAAAAGGAGAGATAAAAGGTTTAGCTTGTATATCAAGGAAACTTTATCACAGCCGTGAAGTATCCCAGGTAACGGTCCACAATGACAAGTGTAGTTGGTAACATGTTGGGCTTTATTTCCGGTTGCTCATTTTAAGCTGCATGCGTCATAAGCGGCTGAACCACGTTCCAAGCCTATGCCGTAGAAGACTGCACCTGGATGCAAGGATGATGTATCGAAGAAGAGAAAGACTTGGCACAGCATCGTGTTTAGAAACTGAAACAGCTGTCTCTGCTGTATCCAGGTTTCATCGGGGCAGTTTCTTCGGCTGCCATACGTATTCAAAGCAGAAAGCGTTACTCGATTTAATACTCCTTATCGTGGATACATACCTTTTGCGGCCTAGGCCGATCCCCTGTAAGTAGCCACTCTTGTCCGCTGTGTTAGATATCTATTTAAAAAATATTTATCTTTGATTACATTAAATCACCAGTTAGATATAACACAATACTGACCCGATAAATATTTAGCACATAAGTAATATAATCCATAATATTATGTAATCAAATCCTTCTAAAATTCAATCTGATTAGATAACAAACACTACTTTGATTTTCAAATACGTAATATCAAACATTATACTTAAACTGGTTTAATATACAAATAAATTAGAGTATATACATCTCAATTGCATATTGTATTTGTATGACTAATCATGGTAAACTTATATATATACCGTTATATACGGAGTTGATACCTTACATAGTATATTTTTGCGAGTATGTACAGATATTTGCATTATAACTTTCCATTCTTAGTTTCGCATTAGAAAAATTTTAGAGGATAGCGGAAAAAAATACGGATGATTTCGCCCAGGATCGAACTGGGGACGTACTGCGTGTTAAGCAGGTGCCATAACCAACTAGACCACGAAACCATTCGATGATTGATGTCAGAGTTAGAGAGTTATTTCAGGAACCTTATGAGGTTCCAGTTGAGGCTACTAGGATTGTTTGATAATGAGTATCTGAAACTAATCCTGTAGCATAAAGCAAATGAGGCACCGAAGAAAGCTATATAAGGAAGTAGTTTTCCAGATCTAAGAATGATCTTGGTTTTAATATTATCTTTATTTTTGTGGAAGATCACGATAAGTAACTTGTGAATCAATGACTGATTACAACCCCCCCGACTGGAATACCAACAGGCGCTGGAACCCTGACAATTGAATTTTTTGCTGGAGATCTACACTCGGTGTATCACCCTCATACTATACGACTTCTTTAAGATTACAGGGAGCTTGTAGCTGTGTGCCCTAAAAGACATGAAACATAGAATGCACTCTGTAGTTGAATTCTCCACAGACTTGGAGTAACCAGAATATACGAGCAAGTTAGTATGGTGCTTAAACTGTGTCTCCGACCCGGAATGGCTGACAATCCTGGGAGAGAATACCGACGTGAAAATCAGACACTTTGAGCTCGAGTGGAGGTAAGTTGAGTCCCCAGAGTACGGCTCCACGGTTAAATTTATTTCGGTATGCGTATCTACCTTAGGGGAAAGAAATGCAATACTTGTCTAGAGCCGTCACCGGGCGTCTTATCCCCAGATATTTTCAGATCGGACAACTTAGGGTTGGAATGCCTTGGAGAGGGGAATTCTGATTGAACACTGAATCACAAATCCTGCGACCAAAGAAAAATAAGTATCAATCCAGGTTTAAATAGCCTGTAAATCCGGCAATGTAAAGAGAACGGCGGACCGGGAAAGACAGAGTCACCTAAAGATCTAATTTACAATTATATATGCAGGAAAATGCTTAAACGCCGATGAAGGAACGATCGGTTGCGATCCGTACAGATTTGTTGAACGTCGATAGGAATGGCTCAGTAATACACAATATCACATGATCACATGCTATTTCGGTCAAAGTATAGGTGCCCTAAGGATTTTCATCTTCACTCGCTTTCGGCAGTATTTCCTAATACAGTGGAGCAGGTATAAAATTTAAACTTTTTATTCTGATTGAATACCTACCGATAGGCAAACCAGCTTCACACTTCTCCTCGTCCCTGCTTATCGTGTAGCCGGGGAAGTACAAATCCGAACAATCAGGGAAAACCAAAAAATAAGAGTCACTGCCTGCCCCACTGAAAAAAATAAGGCGCGCCAGTGAAAAATTGAGAATCCCTTTATCAGTGTTTATCTCGAGCCCAATTTTCTATTGCTCTCCAAACTTCAGAGCCACCCCACACAAAATGTCTAGCAGAATAGAAGATATTACCGATTCGATCACCGGATCTGAAGTTCCAAACGGCGCTGCAGCCTACGCGGAAGACGAAACCGAACAGAGGGAAGAAGGTCAAGAGACCAACTCCAAACTTTTGCACCCAAGACCTTCTGGGTTCAGGAAGGAACCATACTACAAAAAGCTTAAACTAGAACAATCAACACGTCCAGCCTCTCCATATACCTTAAATCCACCAATCGATTCCGACGGGTTGTCATGGCCATCCATCGGCGCCCGCCAACGTATCGATGCCACGTCCGATGAAACCAAGGGTCGCGAGCAGAGAATCGCCGCTGCGGTAAAGACGATCTTGAGCGAGTTAGGTGAAGACGTCAGCCGTGAAGGGTTGTTGGAGACCCCAGAGAGATACGCCCGTGCGATGCTATTTTTCACCAAGGGTTACGAAGACAACATCAGGGATGTGATCAAGAGAGCCGTCTTCGAGGAGGATCATGACGAGATGGTCATTGTAAAGGATATCGAAATTTTTTCTCTTTGTGAGCACCATTTAGTTCCCTTTTTTGGCAACGTGCACATTGCTTACATCCCAAACAAGAAGGTCCTTGGATTGTCCAAGCTCGCTAGATTAGCAGAAATGTACTCCAGAAGATTCCAAGTTCAAGAAAGGTTGACCAAACAGATTGCTATGGCTTTGAGCGAGATTTTGCAGCCAAAAGGTGTTGCAGTGGTCATCGAGGCCAAACACATGTGCATGGTTAGCAGAGGCGTCCAGAAGACCAGCGCTGTCACCACCACCAGCTGCATGTTGGGTTGCTTTAGAACCCAGCAGAAGACTCGTGACGAATTTTTAACCTTGTTGGCCAGAAAGTAAGGCATTCCTGTCTGTATTGGGACCAGTGGTGGAATTACAAAAGGATATCTATTTAGATAGATAATCCATCATTTGAATAACTGCTATCATCCCACAATGTATTTATATCCCAATATTACCAACGTGTTTTGATCTTTTGCATTTCATCTTTTTAGAATAGCACGATTAATGGATCCGCACAGCCTGGGGCTTTTTATGACCTGAAAATTAAGACTGAGATTCAAACCTGTAGGGTATAGGAGAATAACACATAATACGGTATAAAAAGTTGTGACATTGGAAGTGCAATCGCACCGAGGCTTCAAATTGCCGATTCTCTTTCGAGCCACCAGCGCTATTATATTTTACTTCATCGAATGGTTTCGTGGTCTAGTTGGTTATGGCACCTGCTTAACACGCAGTACGTCCCCAGTTCGATCCTGGGCGAAATCATCCGTAGTTTTTTTTCCTTCCCAACCATCAAGTTCTCACCTATGAGATGGGTTCGTTTTACCACGGGACTCAAATTCAACCAGCATCAAAGGTCTGATAGTGGGGTCACACTCCAGAATGAACTAATTCCGTAGCCATGGTCTTGGCTCTTATTGATGACATACATAAGGTGATCCGGAAAAATTGAAACAAGGATTATCGTTTATCCTTACCAGAGGCATCAAACGAGAACGAACAAGGTTAACGTGGCCCTATTTGGAAATCTGCCCTACGCAAATGGCTTTTGAATTGTTTTGGTTACTCTTCGCAGCGAACTTTTTTTAACCATACTCAACTAGATTTGCAGGAGTCCGGATCCAATTTGCCTACCCGTGCACCCATGCCTTCGCTGCTTAGAAGTGGCTTCGGCTAAAGCAGCCAAATCGGCAAGGTACAGATGTTGGGTTGCTCGAAAGACCTGTTAGGCCAATAGATAGAACGGTAGTCCATTTAAGGTTTAAGCACCCCGCCTTGTGTAAGCTGGCGCGCCGCACTATTATCCCGCACGCTTCTGCTTCGGAGTTGCGCACGGAAGTTCAACAAGACAATCACCCGGTGGGGGTGACCTGCAGGTCAGAGGCCTAGGCACCGCCTAATCGTTGCCAAAACTTACCGTTTTGGGTATTTTCCTGCTCCAGAAGTTCGAGTAGGAAACATTAACTTATGAGGAGCTGTAGATTCACATTTTGGATTGTGCTCCAGAAACAGACCAAGCTACATTATATAAGTCGCAACAAAGCAGATACGTTTCCAGTCTCACTAAACTTTTTGGAAACTTGTGTGCTGGCTGGTAGCTGAGTGGGTTTTCTCCAGAGTAGAATAACGCCCGTATCCAGGATATGCTTGGCGCAGAGCCCGTTAGTTTGAAGCACGCGTGTTCCAGCAGATAAGGGATCTGGAGGAATAACACCTTTACCTTTTTCAACCAATCCGTGTTTAGTAATTGCTTTCGCTATGATTCATTCGAAGTTCATTTGCCGAAACCTCCACCGTGGTTGTCGCTATATGCTACCCACTAGTCACAGCTTGTATTCCCGGTCCGGGTCTGAAATGATAATCTCGGGGCTTCTAGATGGTACTGACCTAAAGCTCCAATATTGAGCGAATGGTGACTGCGCGACGACTCGAAATAAGTCCCCTGGTATATCTCCCAAACTACTGAAAGTAGGACCGAAAGCAGTCACTAGATCAAGCGTAAGAAATAATGCTACATACGATAATCCCAATGTTACATTGAACGGCAAACCCACTACGAAATGCTACAAGTATAACATGCTTATCCCCTCACCAAATCTCACCAATACATTTCGAGATCACCTGCATGGCGCCCCTCAAAGGTCAACAAACCTAAATGGCGCTGCACGCATCCCGTTTCTTTTTTTCTCAGTCCGTCGCGTTTTCTGAGATCAGTATATAGCGGAGGCACGGGCCACTTTTGCTGGCACAAAGACTATAACGCAAACTCTACCAATTGCCTTCCATCATTCACTATATACACCATGTCTGACGTTGCTAGTGCCCCAAAAAAACACACCAAGACTCAATCCGCCTACGTAAGTACTAATTAATGATCCCCGAAGAGGTAAGGAAGTACTGCCATCGTTAAGCGCTGGAGACCACTGACCAGTGCCAAATATATGCCATTGTCCCCTTTGCCATTAACCTTTCATATGTCTCTCACTTCCAGAAATATTTTGGCGTCGATTTTCCTTGCAATATTTCCCCTTTACGGCGCATGCTTGTTTGGTACTAACCCCCTAGGCCTTTGACAACACCACCACCAGTGTGGCCGCCTCCCTGATGCGTAACGCGTTGAACAAGCTCGCCGACTCCGTCCAGGACGACTCTGTCAAGGACCGTTTCGAGAACGAAATGGATTCGTTCTTCTCCTTGTTCAGAAGATACTTGACTGACAAGGCTGCCGACACCCCATTGGACTGGGACAAGATTAGATCGCCAGGGTCCGACGAGGTTGTTGACTATGTGTCCTTGTCTAACGGCGAAGATGCCGCTGCCAACTTGAGCAAGTTGGCTGTGTTGAAGTTGAACGGTGGTTTAGGTACCTCCATGGGCTGTGTTGGGCCAAAGTCTGTCATCGAAGTCAGAGACGGCAACACCTTCCTCGACTTGGCCGTCAGACAGATTGAGCACTTGAACAGAAAGTACGACGCGGACGTGCCGTTGTTGTTGATGAACTCCTTCAACACCGATTCTGACACCGCCAAGATTATCAGAAAGTATCAGGGCCACAGAATCAGAGTCAAGACCTTCAACCAGTCCCGCTTTCCAAGAATCTTTAAGGACTCCTTGTTACCAGTCCCACAGTCGTTCGACGACAGCTTGGAAGCCTGGTACCCACCCGGCCACGGTGATTTGTTTGAATCCTTGGTCTCCTCCGGGGAGTTGGACGCGCTTTTGGCCCAGGGCAGAGAGGTGTTGTTCGTTTCCAACGGTGACAACTTGGGTGCCACCGTCGACACCAAGATCCTCACCCATATGCTCGAGACCGACGCCGAGTACATCATGGAGTTGACCGACAAGACTAGAGCTGACGTCAAGGGGGGTACCTTGATCAACTACGACGGTGAGATCCGGTTGTTGGAGATTGCACAGGTGCCGAAGGAGCACGTTGAGGAGTTCAAGTCGATTAAGAAATTCAAGAACTTCAATACCAACAACTTGTGGATTAACTTGAAGGCCGTTAAGAGATTGGTCGAGGCCAACGCCATCCAGGTTGAGATCATCCCCAACGCCAAGGCTATCACTATCAACAAGGCCGAGTACAATGTCTTGCAGTTGGAGACCGCTGTCGGTGCCGCCATCAGACACTTTAAGGGTGCCCACGGGGTGGTTGTTCCAAGATCCAGATTCTTGCCGGTAAAGACCTGTTCCGACTTGTTGTTGGTCAAGTCTGACTTGTTCTTCTTGGAACACGGTGCCTTGAGATTGGACCAGTCCCGCTTCGGGCCAAACCCGTTGATCAAGTTGGGCTCCCACTTCAAGAAGGTTAGCGGCTTCCAGCAGAGAATTCCTCATATGCCAAAGATCTTGGAGTTGGACCACTTGACTATTACCGGTAATGTCTCTTTAGGCAAGGGCGTTACCTTGAAGGGGACTGTCATCATTGTTTGTTCTGATGGCCAGAGAATTGATATTCCAAACGGCGCGGTGTTGGAAAATGTTGTCGTTACCGGTAACTTGACTATCCTCGAACACTAAGCACCCTTTTCAATGACCAGGGGAGGAGGAACGTTTCCCCGTGTAAACCTACCTTTTTTATTTTCCTACTTCGCATACTAAGCTTCATCGCAACCTATCTGTAGCTACTAGTTAGCGTAAATCCTGCACGTATCAAAAAAAAACAGTTAATCCTGCACCAAGGTATATTATCTGAGATATTTTGGAGATAAGTAGTCGCTACAGCGAAAAGATATACCTGGCATTCAATTTAACCATGTCTAGCGTGCAAGAACTCACAAACCCACAGGTGTGCCAACTATTGCCGTCTTCGGCTGAAAACTTCCGTGGATACCCCTGTAAAGTTGTCACCGTTGCCTCCAGGCCTCACATTTCGGATGAGGGGACAGACACAACCATTCAGGGGAGGCTATACAATATTGATCCAATTACAAAGACAGTTATATTGTTCAACAAGGCATGCGAATCGCAGGAGACGCTGGTAAGTTACCTTTTCAATGTTGTTCCGATAAGTTCAGTTGAGAAGCTAGTTGTAACCGAGATTCTGGAAACAGAACTGGTAGGGCTAGAGTTGGCTAGGGTGGCCGAATTCTTGGGGGAAGGAATTAATGCGAAAAGTTTCGCCACCTGAAAATAGGACTGCCAATGCAAAATAAATAAATAATGATACTCCTTTGGGAGGCTACCTCCCCTTGAGAACCCAACCCCGAGACGGATGGATCTGAGTCAAGACCTCGAAGCACACAAAAATGAGAATGTCACAAATCTTGCTCTTGGGGGGATCTAAAGTGCTGCCGTTTAGGCTCTTTATATTTTACGTGAAATTTCACGACAACCTTCATCAAACTGTGCATCTATATCTAATCTAATTATGTTCATTGAATCAACCCACTCTCCTTCAATTTCTCAACTAGACCCCTCTCGACGTACTTCTCCAAACCTGGTTCCCCGGTCAAGCCCTTTCGTTTTCTGGTCTTGGTGACAAAGTCTCTGGCTAATGATTTATAGGGGGCTGGTCTCAATTGAGGGATGAAACACGTCTTGTCCATCGGATCACCGGGAACCACGCTCCATTTTTCAAACACGAGTAAGGCAATAGCTTGCCCTCCAGTAGCGAGTCGAATGTCACTTTCCAACCCAATCGAGTCAATAACCGGAACGTTACCATAAACATTATACAACTGAGTTCCAGGAATTGGGGAGTCCTTCAACACCGAACCTCTTCTCTTTTCCACCAATTGGCCCACAACCTTGATCGCAGCTCGGGTGCACGTAACATGAATGGCATAAATAGGCTCCAATAGTCTCGGAGAGGCAGTCATGAAGGCCGTGTAACAAGCTTTACGCAACATCGGAATGATCTGGGATGTACTTCTCGACATTAAGTCGTCACTAAGGGCACAATCGATGATACGAAACTTTGTGTTACGAATCGGCTCGTCACAGAGTGGACCCTCACGCGTCGCCCATTTGAAGCCCTGCTTGATTGAGTCTTTCATGGAAACCAATCTAGCCTTTTCATCGGGATTGTCCAGCGGCAAAGTGTCATCCTGTAACAAGTTTGGTGAGTTTCGTTCGTCTGGTCCAAGCGACCAAATGGACCTGGCAGTCAACGAATCTAAACCGTACTCTTGCCTGAGCATCTTCACAAGCGCCCTAGAGGAGCCCCTCAGAAGGTTGATTTGACCGTTCTCAATGGCTTTAACCAACTTGGGGTTGTCCAAGGGCTCGGCAACCACAGAGATTCGGTTCTTCCCGTTGGTAGACTCGACGCTAATCTTGGTGAAGGAGATAGTCTCACAGCATTCGCTAAAGCGGGTGATTGGATCGCTGATTTTGACTTCAATCCCCGTAAATGACTGACGCAAATCATGCAACAAGCAGTCCATATAGAGCTCCCCGGAGCCAAAAATCACATGCTCGCCGTTTTCCTCCACCTTGATTTCCACACCGGGGTAGGATTTGTTAATGGAACGCAACCCTGACAATAATTTTGGAAGTTCCGAGGGAATGGCAGGCTCAATGGCGACCTTGAACACGGGCTCAACAATGTAATCGATCAACGGAAAGTTTTTATGTGGGATGCTCATGGTATCGTCATAAATAGTGGCGGATTTACTAACCAATGTGTGTAAGCTTTCGTTACCAATCAACCCAATGGCACCGGGACCTAATTCATCCACAGGTACCCGGTATCTTCCACCTGACAAGTACAATTCATCCACTGTAATCACGTGGAAGTCTTCGTCATCTTCCTCGAAGTTTTCTCCCAAAATCTTAATCTTAGAGTTGAGCTTCAATGCCCCCGAATAAATTCTAACCAAGCCGAAGAATGACTCACCGTCGGAGGTTTCAACCAACTTGGTTAAATGTGCGATCAACGGCGAGGTTGGGCCTCCATCGCTCTCTAGTCCGAGCTGGCTCTGCACCCTCTGAGAGTTTGTCTCCAGAGGTGAGATAGATGCCTGTAACATGTCACCAAACCCCAAGCTCTCGCCAAAAACAGCCTTCATCACCTGCTTTAACAAAATCTGGGAGTCCAACTTGTACGTGGCGTTCGGCAAGGTGACGTTAAAGTTGGAGTACAATATCCGAGACAAGCTGTCCTTGTTGATAACGATGGCGTGGGTGAAAAGCTTGTATAACGGTGTGAGAATGAAGTAGATGAAAGATCTGGTCAAGCTCAAAGAAGAGTTGTTTTTAGTAGTGAAATTGTTTGTTGATGGGTCGTAATAAATGTCGCCCCATAATCTGGCAGCAAACTCGTCAATATTGATCTTTGTTCCCTGAGGATCGAACTTCTCCAAATATAGCTTGATGAAACTTTTCAAGGTGAAGCAGAACTCCAAGGTGGAGGACGCAAAGCAGACATTGTTCAACTCTGGAGACAACCGGACGGGGAAGGGGTACTGGGACTGTGGGGAAGACCGCAACGAGTCCGCAATAAATTCATTAATCTGCTCCACGATGTACTTGATTTTGAAGTAGGCGTCAGACGGGGGTAACTTCAACTCCAAAACTAATCGATCAATCTTGTTCAAGATCAATTTCAATTCCAAGTTGTTTTTCAAGGCGTTTTCAATGGCAACCTTGGTGCCCACCGTGAGACCTTCCACCAAGTCTATTACCACAACGCACACATCAACCGTCCGCTGCGCCACTGCTAGTTCATCATAGAAGTTGACATGACCCGGGGTATCCAAGAGGTTGACGCACAATGAGTTACCCTTTAGATTGGGGAGCAAGAGGGTGACTGGTGATACCTTTAGGGTCATGCCTCTGCCGATCTCCAACGTGTGGTTGTCTGTGTATCTCAAAGATTTGAAGTTTTTCAAGCAAGTCGAGAGTTGCAACTCCTTGTGCGTCTGCAAGATCAACATATCCAAGAATGTGGTTTTACCACTGTTAAGGTTCCCCACGAGCGCAACGTTTCTGACTCTGTGGGGGGCGGTATTCAAGACAGATAGTAAGTAGTCACGGGGATAGGCCACCCTTGGAAGACTCTTCTCTTCGACCTTGAAGCTCTTTTCGATATGGGGATGAACGATAGGCTCTGAGATAGATTGGTTATCGTATGTCTGGACAATGGTTTCCACATCAGCACCGAAGGTTTCGGATAAGGTGCTGTAATGCTTCTTGTCTTCATGTAAAACGATCGCTTGGGAAGCTGTCTCTGGGGTATGCTCATCTACGTCCATAGCATCTTCGTTGCCAGCTGGTATTCCTTGACTGCGATTATCATCAGAACTGTAGTGTGATTCGGCATCTGAGTCTAATGGATCACCGATAAGGTTACCAAATCTAAAAGTAGTTAGTAGACTATTCGCTGGTAGCCTCCGCTGGAGTCTGGAGCGAAGAGGTACGATTGTGGCAGTACTTACTCATCATAAAGGTCTTCGTTATCCATCTCTAGCTGTATATCAAGGCAGGTAAGTAAGAGGTCAATGGTAGGGGAGTAAAATACTGACTAATAGACCACGAAGTTGACTATTATGTCTAGGGCCATGGCTTTATGCCTTCATATTTTTCCTCAAAAATATACAGGATAATACATATGGTAGTGCGTTAAACGGAAAACTAGGTGGTACACACCGTCGGCAAACTGCGTATTGATACAGCCTCGGCTTAGATACAGCCCTGCTGCTTTGCCAAGTACTATAATAAAGGCTTACATTGTAAGCCCAGATTTAGTAGTGGTATATTTCGGGGTAAGGGACCAGAAGAAATAAACCCATCAATGTGATCAGTTCCAGAAAGCCGCGTAGAGACAATCTTTTGTGAAGAACCGCTTCAGAATTCCTGGCAGTTGGCCGGTCTAGCTGGTCTCCATAGACAGGGTCTATGTTTTTGCCTGTCGCAGAGTAATGCTGTGGCTGGTTATGGAACCTGCTTAATATGCGCTACAATTTTGATCCAATCCTGGGCGAGACCATTCCTAGTCCTTTACAACGGCTGCCAAGACTCATAGTCATTTTGCACGAGGCAGAGACAGATGGCCCTGGCTGCCAAGAAAGCACGTGGGTGTACGTAAGGTTTTGCATGGATTAGTCATTGGAAAATGGCCATATGCTAGCTCACTTTTCTGTTTTCTTTTGCTTTAAAGGCCGTGTAGAACTTTGCGTATGTCGCTGGATGGAGGCGTTTATTATCTGGCATGATCTGAACCTGCCAGTCAAACAGACAAGGAGTGAATGATCGAAAAGCCTGCATGGGGATTGGTACGTTCTCAGCCTATCTTCCTATTGTTGTAGATCTGGTTTAGAGGATGGCGCCGGGTTTAGCTGTTTAGTCACAGTTTTATAATCCCTCATTTATCTCCAGGCGACTCCCCGCACGTGTATCCGACCCCTATTTCCGAAAATCTTAAGTGCATATCTAAAAAAAAATTTTGACCGACATATACCATTGTGTACGCCGGATGTTAAGCATTTTGTTAGTCATACGGTGCCATATGATATAATATCCTGCAGATCACTGGCAACACAGCCACAGTGATGGTCGATCGAGACAGGAGAATATCGCCGTGCATCCGAGGATTGACCAGGAGCTAAGCTATTAAAAAGCCCGCATGACGCACTCGGAAAAGCGACATCCAGGCGTAACAGCCGCCCCGTGGTTACAGTTAATACATAAGATATAAATAATGGACATTTCCCCAACCGCCTTGGTCAAGAACCCTCACACTGCGCGCCTTTCTTTAATATTCTTGCCATTTTCATTTCAGTATCCGCACAAGCTGATAGCTTTTCAGGATTATATTTTCCCGACAAGCCACTGTTGTCCAAAGATCGTCTGACAAGCCTCCCGCCCACCTTAATTTTTCCCGAAGAGCCTGCCTCCTACTATTCTAATTTTTGCGTACTCTAGATATGATGCTCAGACAGATATATAACGATATGCCCGATATCCACAAATGCCGAGTGCGGAACGTCGCAATATTGGTTGCATCAGTTATTGCGTGCACCATTGGATTGAATATATTCATGAACTTCGGCCACCTCTCTCTTCTGTTCAAGGTTCCTATTTTCCCCAGTTATGACCCCGTGAGTCACGAAAACTTCTACTCGGTGAGGAAAATAACAAGATATGTCAAGGATATCCTCCCAATCCATTCGCATAACGATTACACGAGGAGTATTCCGTTATTTTATGCCGTTAAAAATGGATGTAAGAGCTTTGAGGCGGACGTTTGGCTCAGGGATGAGAGACGGAGCCGGCCAGACTCAGACTATGTGGCTCTCCTTTCAGGAAAACCTCCTGCTGTCCACACTAGCCTAGGAGATGGCCAAGAGTTGTATGTGGGTCACCACAGCACCAACTTGAACAAGTATGAGACGTTGGATTCGCTCTATTTGGATCATTTGATGTATATGTTGGACGAAATGAATGTGGACGGCAATGACACGGAGAGACAAAGAGGTATCTACGTGAACCTTCCACAAGAAACGGTTTTTCTCGTTGTCGATTTCAAGACCCACGCCAACCCCACTTTTGGTGTTTTGAGAGAAAAGTTACAGCGCTTTATCACGAAGGGATATTTGAGCTATTATGATTTTACCAGCGATACGTTCGTGGAAGGTCCCTTGACGGTGATCATCTCGGGGTTCACCCCTAGCACGGATTTCCTTGAATACCGCGCGAAGTCTTCCGATGGAAGA